TGGCTGTTAATAATTGATTACCTATTGACACACATTGCTACAGTCAACATGTGAAAAAAAAACATTCAGCAATGGAACATATGGAATAATGCAGGAAAAGGGAGAATATGGGAGACAAGTGAGCATGAAATAAAGGATGTTCACTCATGCAGGCATATTATGTTGAATCAATAAGAAATAAAAATGCGCAACTTGAGTTCTTATTAATTATTATGACACCTGCTAGACTTGGATACCATATGTTAATTAGGCAATCAGTTATTTCCTCAAGTATTAATCGTGCTAACTGCTAACATTTAGAAGCATTTTAGCATCACCTACTTAACAAACTGCTCCCAGTAAGGAAGAATTCCTGTCTTCCATCAATCCGAAAGGACGATGCACCCACAACTGAGTGTCTTTTCCAGACGGCTATTTCAGAGGGTACTTAAGAATCAGTCACATTGATGTGGATCTGGGATCATGTGTAGGCCAATGTAGTTAAGGAGAGCAGATTTCCTTTCCGGAAGAGATTATTTTTCAACTGTCCAGTGGCCTCATGGTCATTATCATTTCTTTCAGATTTATTTAACTCATTACTTTTCAATTCCCTAGCAGCCCTGAAGGTTGGCAAGGTGGCTCAATGTTTAGCACTGCTGTCTCACAGCAGCAGGGTCCCAGGTTTGATTCCAGCCTTCAGTGACTGTGTGAAGTTGGAACATTCTCCCTGTATCTGTATGGATTTCCTCCAGGTGCACTGGTTTCCTCCCAATGTCCAAAGATGTGCAGTTTAGGTGGATTGGCTGTGCTAAACTGGCTGTAGTGTATAGGGAAGGTAGGTGGGATGGATGGTAAATGCAGGGTTACAGTAGTAGGGGGTGGTGGGTCTGGGTAGAATGCTCTTCGGAGTGTTGGTGTGGACCCAATGAAAGGGTTGAAAGGCCTCTTTCCACACTGCAGGGATCCTTTGAACCTGTATTCCCTGGAGACTGGTTCACTTTTCCAGCTGACTAATCCCGTGTGCCACTGTCCCCGTCTAAAATCTGAAATTGGCCTTCAAAAACTCTATTGAACTGTGGCAAGCCAATCAGCCTTCATGAGTCAATTTCCAACTTTTCTTCTGGATTTAAAACATTCGGTGTAGATTGACAGCCTGTTACAGAAATGGGCCCATTTTTCTTCCTGCTGATGGAAGTGGAAAATGGAAGTGGAAGTGAAAGATTGTCTGGTTTCCATGGCTTGCAGCTGATATATAATGACAGATTTTATGGGCCATCAGTAAGTTGAAAATATATCTCATGATACTGTCACTTTTTCAATCTTTCAAATGAGGTTTGATACAATCAAGACTCATCTGATCTGCTGCTTGTTACTTCAAAGCCTGGCTTCATGAAGGCTTATTTATGATGAGAACCTTGCAAGTTCTGCAAAATCATGACTGCACTCAGCACTCCCTACACACAAACCGGTTTGAATCCCTCCGAAACCTGTTTGAGCATCAAAACAACTATCAAGGCCCCATATGATATCCAGTGTGATTGTGACCATGCTAAACAATCCTTCCTCATCCTGTCTCCTGTTGTTATGAAGTTGACAACATTGTCTATCTCCAAACCCTCCCCTTCTTGATTCTACAAACTGCACTCACCTGATTCCATTCTGATTGATTCTTTTATGACCAGAGAATCAGCTGCAATCACAGTTACCTCTGATGTCCATCAGGCATCTATCCTGGGCCCCCTCCTGTTTCTCACCTACAGGCTGCACCTCAGACACATTACCTGAAAACATAACACCAGGTTCCACATACTGTATACGCCACCAATTCCCAAGCTGTCGTCTCTCACGATCCCTCCAATTATCTCGAAGTTGTCAAACTGCTTGTCTGACATTAAGTACTGAATAATCAAAGACTTCCTTTAATTAAATATTAGGCCGAATGAAGCCATGATCTTCGATCCACACCACAACTCATTGATTCCGTCTCTCTCCCTGGCAAATGTCTAAGGTTACTCCAGAGTATTCACAAATGTGGTGCCATATTTGACCCTAAGGTAAGTGCCTAGCTGTAAAGATAGGTTAGACAGTGGTACAGTGGTGTTTTGGTAATATCACTGGACAATAATACAGAACTGATGGTGAAGCGATGGCCTAGTGGTATTATTGCTAGACTGTTAATCTAGAGACCCAGACAATGTTCTGGGGAGCCAGGTTCGAATCCTGTCACGGCAGATGGTGAAAGTTGAATTCAACAAATATCTGGCATTAAGAGTCTAATGATGACTGTGAATCCATTGTCAATTGTTAGGAAAAATCCATCTGATTTACTAATGTCCTTCAGGGAAGGAAACTACCATCCTTACCTGGTCTGGCCTACATGAGACTCCAGACCCACAGCAATGTGGTTGACTCTCAACTGCTCTCTGGGCAATTAGGAATAGGCAATAAATGCTGCCTAGCCAGTGACATCATCATCCCATGATCTAGTGTCTACACCTCCGGTGTAGAAAATCCAAGACATTGACTATCCTTTGGTGGAAGAAGTTCCTAACCATCTTATTTTAAAATCAGTGACCCCCTCCTTCTGTAACTGTGGCTTGTAGTTTGAGATCCCCCCAACATCTATTGTGTTAAGTCCCCTGAGAATCTTGCATGTTTCAATAAGATCAGCTGTCATTCTTCCAGACTCTAATAGATAAAAGCCAAACCTGTTTCTGGTAGTCTCATGTTTTACACAATTTCAATGTTCCACCATTGCCAGCCTACCTTCATTTGTTAAGACTATGAGCTATGGAATTTTCACCCTAAAACACTGTAGTCCAGATTTTTGCCATGGCAACTGGACACTTGATTCTAGGAATCTCCCAAATTGACAAATATGCTTCCATGCAAACGTAGCCCACACTCACGATATTTGCTGCAGTATTTTAAAGATGGTCATAGATCCAACGACAGCTGAGGCAGACTTGTTGAAAGGCCTGCCGATTTCTCTGGGACCTCAGCCCAGTTTTATAAAAGGTTGCAGGGCCTTGAATTCTCACCCCTCAAACAGTCACCCACCTTCCCATGCCCATGCCATTTTACATCCCCAAGCCCTTCATAGCCCCATGCCAGCCCATGTTATCTCGCAGCCCATTCCACCTCAAAACCCCCTCATGCCCCCAGGCCACCAGTTCATACCTTATGCCACCTTATATCCCCATGTCAAACCCATGCCTCAAATCCTATGTCACCTCCATAACCTCTTGCCTAGTACCCAACATAGACATGAGTCAGGGGCCAGGAGGAAGTGAAAATATTAAAATTCTCATATGCCAAGTGTTATGAAGACATTGTCAATACCTCTCTGATAATTAAAATTGAAACACCCAGAGAAGCTCGTCTCACCTCATAATCTATTAAAGAAGTGATTAAATGAAAGAAATCCCTGATACTCACTTTATAATCAACAAGTTCAATTTATTAATCTAACTCTAACAGTTAACAAATTAACAGAACTATTAACAAACCGAACAGTTCCCCCTTAACTACTAACTATTCCCATATGAAACAAAATTCTAATGGTATGCTGCTGCAATGGATACAATTCCCACTTACATAAACCAAATTAATACAAAGAATTAAAGCTTAATCTCTCGAAATTACAGCCAGGTTAAATCTTCCACAATGTTCTTTGCCTTCTCCGCTGTCATCCAGTCAGGAACACCTTCCTCCGTAGAATTCTTGTTTCAGGAATATTAGCTAAGATTGCAGTAGTACCTTTATTTAGATGGAGCTTACTCTGAGATCTTAGAGATTTCTGTGAGAGCTGGTGATTTTCTCTTTCTTTAGAGCTGATGGCTGTACTTCATAGGGGCATTATCTAAGAAATCTTAATTCTAAGCTTATTAGGGGTCATTAGGGCAGATGACCAAATTCCTCATCAAAGAGCTAGGGTGTTGTTCAAAACCTAACAGAGGAACATGCGTTAGGAGAGACAGATTTTCCCAGTGTTTGTTTTGCCTTTTAAAATGCAATGTTACGTTATGTTCCGTTGTTATCTCAGATTCCTTTGTGCTGTTCAGCTGTCATCTTTCCACATATTGAGAGTTCCTGTATTCCAGATTCTAATCCTCCCATCTCTTTTCTAGTTTTGTCACATTTTGAGCTATTTGGTGCTCTCAGTTAGTGTTTTGCATCAGTCAACTGTCTGACAGATTCCTACCCATAGCAGCCATGTTAGCACATCCCAGCTCAACCTGTCTGGGCAGGACTTAGGGGGTGCCAGGGTTATGACAATTCTGTCACTTTAAGAGGTTATTTTGGCCTTTTTTTGAAGGTAGGTTGTAAGGCAGAGATACCGAGCTATCAATAAGAAAGTAAACAATTTGTGAAGCCTTGGGGTTTTATAAAAGCTGGAACAATAGAAACATTCTTGGTGTGATCACCTCTCACAGAACAGGCTTTCTAATTATTTTTAGTTTTTCGGTTTAGTTTTAAGCAGAAGCCTTTGGGGGTCTATAAAAAGAGTTGGAAGCTTCAGTGGTTGCCTCCTGGCTGCTAATTACTCTGAATTTTCTTTTGTTTTTCTTTTTCCCTCCTGGATTGGAAACTGCGTGTGAGAGTCTGTGTTTGAATTTACCTTTGTTTCAAGGGTGTGTTGATGGGATGGTACTATATTAGAACAGTTAATTAATAATAGGTACTGTGTCTATTATTCAGTTAAGTTTTCCAACAGTTAAGTAATTCTCTTGATAACTCTTTCCTTTGTTTATATTTTAACTGTAGTGTTTAAATGAATTGTGTTTTGCTTAACATCGAGTAGTTTGACCAGTCGCATTGCATCTGGAACATGGCGCTTGATGTCTACCTTTAAGATAAGAAAAAGTTAGGGTCTAGGCTACCTTCTTAAACTATATTGAGGGGTCTGGCCTGGTCCATAACAGGGTGCAGGTTGAGAGACTGGCATTGTAGCTGGGTGATGTGAGGTAGAGGAGGGAGCAGTGATGAGGGGTTGCAGAGCACCATAAAAACCACTAGAGAGTTATGTGGGGTTGTGGCAGGTCCATCTCCTTCCTGACATTGTTGGCGTTTTACCATGGCATGGTAGGAAGCAGACCACCCTCTGCCCAGTAGCCAAGGGAAGCCTTAAAATGGTCAATTGATGGCCACCATCACTTGTTACTTCACCAGTGGAGGACGGGCACTGCACCACGCCGGGAGACTGGCAGTGCGCAATCTGTGGACTCAGAATGAGGTATCTCTAATTATTGGGTACCCTTTTGGGCTGACCTCTGTGACGAGAGTTGTCCAATGCCCCCATTTGAAAGAAATGCCCCTTTCATCCTCAACACCGATTCCTCACCTCCTAATGAGAGCCTGCCTAAGCAGCTCCAGAGTGGCACGCAAACTCACGATAATTCCCAGGCCTCCTCCTCCTAGCTGGTCCAAGGCCATGATTGATGGCACTGCTGTGATTGGTGAGCAGCTGGCCCTTCAATTGGCACACACCTCTGTGGGGTTGGGATATAACGGGGCAGAAGACCTGATGGAAGTGTGAGGAACATAAAATGCAGTCATGACTTCAGTGATTATTCTGAGGTGACATTGCCCCCAGCCCACCTTCCCAGCTGGTGAACAGGGGAACAACCGTCATATCAAGTCCTGGCCTTTGTGTGCTGACAATGTATGAATTACTCCATTATTCTGTTATCCTCATTCCAAGCCAATTGGTGAAGTATGAGAAAAGACACCAATACTTTCATTGTTGATTGGTTTGTACACAGATTGCAGCATTATTTATATCTGCTCCCTTCCACTTTCCTAGGAGCCTGTCTTTGTACTCTTCTAATGCAAATAAATAATTAACTTCGATGGGGCTTTAACCTATTGCACCGTTTGGAAACATGGAACCATGGTCTCCTCTTGGCCCCAGAAAGCTCAGGCAGCCTGGAAATCTGTGAACCTATTTAACGTATGGTTGCATTCAATCCCCTCCAGCTCAAATCCCTGATGGGAGGGCACCTTCAACTGGGACTGCTCTCCATCTCCAGGTGATTGGATGGAATGGCAGACGAAGTCTGGTTGGTGCACAAGTGTGAGGAATTGAGATAGCCTGTACAGGAAACTTGACCAGGTCAAACAAGTAAATGTCTCTGAGGGAATTCCCACAAGATGATTCAGATTTTGGGACTGAAGTTCCTGAGGGAGGTACCAGGACTGGGTGCCAATGTCCATGTAGGGGTGTGCTCAAATGAGAGTCACCACACATCTGAGCTACCTTAGGACTGTGGCTGCCACAAGGGCCGGGCAGCATAGTTTTGAAGTTTCAGGATGGCATTGGCTGTGAGCATTGGACAAATGCCCAATACACAGCTTCTTTTGGCAACATCCAGCCCACTCCTGCACCACCCAGCACGCCCTAGAAGCACTCCCACTGTCCAAGGTCCTTTTGGATGAGGCATCGAAACCAAATCCCATCTGTCCTTGTGGAAGAAACTTAAAAGGTCCCAGGACATAATTCCAAAGCCAGAACAAGGGGATTCACTTCAATGTTCTGACCTTTCTTCAGACAATGTGACCAAAACAGTTAATTGGGTCAATACTGCTTTGCTGCTTCTTGTGTGCATCTTGGCCACTGTGTTTCAGACATCACAGCTGTGCCCACAGTTCAGAAGTATTCAATTGAGGCTGCGTTTATCATCAACATCACCACAGCAACCACGCACGTGCAGACGCACACAAGCAGTAGAGGCCCTGTCACAGGTGACTGACGACCTCAGCGTGGGTTCCAGCAGCCATCTTTGGCATCGGAAACATGTACTTCCTTTAATTGGCACCTATGACAAATGCCAAGAGTGTAAGATGCTGCGTCAATGCAAGTCTTCATTTTGGTTCATTTCGATGAAGCCGGATACCTAAGTTTAGGAGCAGCCTTGGGCCCACTCAGTTGGCTCACGCTATAACCACATGGCAGGACCCGAAAGCGAGCACTGCCTGAATTCCAACAGTCTTCCCCTGGTTTTATCTGGTTTCTAGTGTTCTATATATGGACCTGCCACAGTGAGATGAATGACACCGTATTTATCCTGTGTGCCCAATAAATGAACTGTGCCACATTTACTGTCTGATGCCATTAGATCATTTATTCCATATTTACAGTTCACTTCTCTGAAAAATGAAGTATCCATCTTCATAACGTTCGCAGTTAGACAACAAATTATTCTATTTTTACTGCCTGTCAAAAGATAACACATGACTCCATGTTCACAGCCCACCGCAGTCCAACAAGAGACAATTCCCATTTTGCAGCAGGTCACTGTTATCTAAAGTTAATTTTCAACAGGCTGAATGGGCTCATTCTGTTTCTGTATCTTTACAGTCTTATAACAAATGCGGAGAAACTCAGCAGGTCAGGCAGCATCTGTGGAGAGAGAAACAGTTAGCGTTTTAGGCTGAAGGACTTTGGTCAGAACTGAAAAGAAAAGGTTTTGAGCGATGAAGCAGGTTTCAGGTGGGTAAAGCAGCAGAGAAAAGTGCAGGACTGGCGAGGAAAATAAACAAAAGGAAAATTCAATGATTGGATGGAAAAGAGGAGAGTAAGGCCTGGATTTTTAGCTCCTACTGGCAACAGGGACAGAGACAGCAAGCACAGAGTGTCATGGCTCTGCTGCGCCCCTGCTGACAATTTTCCTCGATGGGGGTGGGGGCAAGAGCAATCCAGGGGCTGACCTGTGACCAGTCGAGTCAGGCCGATGGCGATTTTCCATTCAGTCTGCAGCCTCATGGAGGTGGTGAGGGACAGTTTAGCTACCTGCAAGGTGTCCCTGTGGCAGGCTTGGAGGCCTTCGATACCTGCCTAGGCGCTGTACCAGCCACGTGTGGGAGGGGTTCACCCACTTCGCCCCTCCCCCGTCCTCAATCAGCACCATCCCTTCAGAGGCTGCCATCTTTGTATTTGAGTTCGACAATGTTGGAGAACTGGCACCTCCAGTGTGTAGCGTCCTCTCCTTCACTTACCTGCCATTTGTTTTGAGCCAGAAGGCTTCAAATTGGCTGGATAGCGACAAGGGCCTCTTTACTGTCCTAAGCCTGCCTTCTGGCCGTTAATTAGCATGTCAAGGAAAAGCACATTTCACCGTACATTGTGGATCTTCACCAGATTTAGTTGGATCAGTCTGAGCTCGCATTGGGAGGGGTTACAGAGGAATTGCATTCTGCCCATTATTTTGCCAAAGAAACAAGCCAGATAAAGAGACCAAATTAAGGGAGGATGGAGCAGCACAACTCGATGGGCATGGACTGGCAGCACCTTCAAGTACCATCAGCTGCACACAAAACAAAGGGCAGAATACATCAGTAACATCTACAACAGTGCACTATGAAAATAATCTCCGCATCTGGGAGCTGAGCATTGCTGTCAAACTCCTACACATTACTGAGGGATAACAGCCCCACAGCAAATCATGTTAATAAGTTAACAGCAGCTGGCATAAGCATAAACTATATATGTGTACGTATGTGCACTTGGAGTCTGATGCTGTATTCATGTTTGATAGCTGCTATAAACACGAACCAACAAGCTGTTAGCTACCACTGTCCATTTCTCTTACAAAGAGTCGGCTTTTGTAAATTCTGGACCATATGCAGCTACTGGGGACTATTACAAAACTGGGCTTGATGTGTTGGGATTTTAGCACTAATCTCTGCATTGGACCTCCCTGTCCCATAAGCATCTGGGTCAGAAGGTTATGAGCGCTCAATTCTAGGCTGTTGCTCCAGTACATTACTGAGGGAGGACGGTGCTGTCAGATGTCTTTCAAACGAGCCAGTTAATTGAGGCCTCTCCTGCCCCCTCAGTTGGGCATCATAAATTCCATTCCATTGTTTAAAAGAAACGTTGTCCCCAGTGGCTGGACTGATACTTATCCCTGGACCAAAATCACTAAAAAGTGATCAGTTGGCCACTATCACTTTGCTGTCTGCTGGAGCTTTTCATTTGCAAACCTGCTGCTTAATTTCCTACACAACCACAACAACATTTCAAAGGAAGTAACTAATTGGCTGTAAAGGGCTTTGGGACCTTCTGAGGTTGCAGAAGGTGCTATAGAAATGAAAGTCATTCTTTCAGTTTTGTAAAGTAGTTTTTTGTGACTCTGTCCAGATTACAATTGGCATTTGGGATCAGTTAGCTATTATAGGAAGCACACCACTTCCATAATAGAAATTAGTTTGATGATATTCATCAAGGGCGGCTAATCATCGACGCCACTTTTCTGTCCAGGTGAAAGTTAAAAATCTATCTCAATATCTTTGCAAAAGCCTCATAAAAAAGGAACCTTGATTATTGCACCAATCTTAATTAGACTTCCCTTTTTTGCTTTAAAAACTGGTACAAATATAAATGGTAATTTCTCGTCAATGCGGTTTTAATTAGGTTTTATTTTAATTGCATTTTATTTTAATTAAATGGGTTTGGATGAAGAAACCCCTTTGGCAAGTTTTGGTCTCTTCCTTTCAGGTGATAAGAACAATAATATGTGTAGCAAAGGTTAAGCAATCAGATGTACAATATGCCTGTCAGCTATGTGTATTCATAACATGCTAGTTAGTCTCTAGGACTCCATATCCGAGCGAGGGAATCAACCTCTCGTTACTACCTGTGTCTCACTGAGCTATAAGTGTCTTCTCTGTATTCAAAAACCTGTCAATTAAAGGAGATTGCTGATTGCCAGGGGAAATGAAACATTATTGACATCCAACAGGGAAAAGATCGATCCAATTGTTGGGGCTTCCTGGATGCCATGACTGAAACTGAGAGAGTCTTTGGAAAGAGAAACGGAGGTGATATTTCAGATTGCTGAAATTTCATCAGAATGCATGTTCATTTCAGCATCTCTCTCTCTAATTAAGCAGGGGGATGGGAACCTGAATTGTAGCTCCAGTATACAGGAGGTTGAGAGTAGCGAGGTCATGAATAAGGTTTCAAGGTCGCAGGAGTGTACCGGCAGGCAGGAGGGTGGTTTGAAGTGTGTCTACTTCAATGCCAGGAGCATC